TCCCCCAAACAATGCTTGTCACACGTTTTCGTCCATTAGGCGATTTGCATAATTGTTTTGCTCCAGCAGTAATCTTGTGACTGAGTGCTCGATTATATGGAGAAAGCGTTAGTATTTAGTTAGAGTGCTTTTTCGCTCCAGCCGATTAACCGTTTTGCATACTCGAAAGCACGGAATTGATGCTAATGACAAACTCAGTAAGCAATTTTCGTTAGCGTTAAAGCAACACGTTGCAGCTCTCTGATCAAAATTATTGCTGTGATGTGTGCACGTATGAAATCAAATTCACATCCTAATGTTTAGATGAAAATGCAGGCGCGCCAGGCACTGCTCAAGTAGTTTAGTGGTTTTCCTTAATTTAGCATTGATGACTGGTCTGCCTGAGAACTTTATTTCCAAAAAGTGCAAGCGATTTTCAATCAAATGCGAAGAGGCTGCTTCTCGATGAGGAATTTTCTTATTTGCAAATGACACGTTAGGCTTGAAACAAAGTGTTCTCAGTACCCCATTCATCAGAGTATTAAAGTTCTGAAATTTGGGACGGTATTTCTGGTATGGGCAGAAGAAAGCCACTATCAACTGACATGATAGGAGAGAACCCGCTTATAGCGAATCAAAAAATATGCAAAAAAAAAATTGTCAGTTCAGAAGTTTGCGTTTACCTCTTGCGTTTTGTTAAACATTTGCATAGTGGTGCATCAGCGTTTCGCTTTTGCGTTCATTCCTCAGCAAAGTGTTTGCTGTTGAAGATGCCGTTGAGAAAAACAATCTTCTTACGAGCTGCTGATTTCGATGGTTGGCAGATGTGTGCTAGCGCGTCTTACGTGACAGGAAAAAAAATCGCCACTAACTTGCTTTCCGAATAAGCAAATGTCCGAAGGGGGAGGCAGCGAAAGCTTTGTCAGCGGATGACAGATGCTAATAAAAGTGTTATTACTGGAAGCGTGAGCGGCTGATCCCGTTTCTGTAAGAGAGTAAAATTTGGAGCGGTTCTGGTTTTGAGTTCTTCGGTACGCTTGCGCTGGATCTCGAAGTGGGACGGGTTCACTAATTTTTCTTGGCAGTTTGATTCCTTGGCGACTGTACAGATTCACCAGTCCATTTAACGCTCCTGAATATTTCGGTGAAATCGTACTGGACTGCTTCACCGAATTGGATTGTTCTGAAAAGATGCCACTAAGTGGTGGCCTGTTCAAGAGTCGCCGGCCGCAGTCGCCCGAACTACGCCTAATGAAAGCTTGAAGAGCCTGCTTGAATCCTGGTACACCATAAGCATAAATCAATGGGTTCACCGCACATGAGACATGAGAAAGTACTACTGCACTTAGTGTTATGGTTGCATCAGAGTGCAGTTCCGGAAAGAACATATCGATGGTATTGATAGTGTACAGTGGATACCAGCACACACCATATGTTAGTACCAGTAACAATAATATGGAGATTAATTTCCTTCGGCCGCGCAGACGTCGTTCACGCTCACGACCACGTAAAAGGCACCTGATCTGCTGCTCCTCAGTTCGAATGCGGCTATAAATGCTTGCATAGCAATAGATGAAAATGAATGTTGGCAGAACGATGGTACCAAAAAAGATTACATAGACTAGGTAGCGATAGTCCACAACTTCTGTAAAACGGCAGTCTCCGGAAAAAAGCTCCGTTTCTGGGCGAAAATGGCTAAACCAGAGCAGCGGCAGTATCGCTACAAGGCTGCCGACGATCCATGCGCTGGCGAGGAGCACAACGGCACGATGATTTCGGCCAACTTGCTTTATGATTTTTTGGCTTTTGCAGCATATGCTCATGTATTTGTCCACAGCGATCGCCAGTAGATGGAACGTTGAAATAGTGCACAGCACACATAGTACCGAATGTATCGCCACACACGGCGCGAAAGAATGTGGGGCGCCGGTCACAACTGAGTACACGGTCAGTGGTATACCCACCGTACCAGCAAGGAAGTCTGTAATTGCAAGCGAGAATATGTAGGTGTTGGTTACGGTGCGGACGTGATCAGACGAAAGGTAAACCCAGAGAACGATGAAATTTGATATGGAGATGTGCAATGATAAGACTATTTCTGCTGCTGCGTACACGTTGATTGCTGCACTAGTCACCATTTTTAAGTAGGCAAGCCACTTACCACGGCATTCAAGCCACAGCAGTGCTAACAGCTATTAAAGCTCTTCTTTCAGTTTAAAATCACGGAAGCGGGAACTTTAACTTGTGGGAGCGAACCACGATTACAGATCCGACGGAGCATTTATCACTCTACATAAGTATGCATTTCAGAAAATTGAAGTGAATTCACTAGTTTGACCCACAAATGTGCCATGACAGTGAGCGGAACGAAACACCAAATCGAATCTGGTATCCAGAAAATAAGTAATCGCTTCCAGAAACCCGCCGACTCGGCCAAATAATCAGCTGATTCTGAAAAAAAGAACTCTAAACGCAAAATAGAAATGATTCTTAAAAACAAAGGAGACCCGAATGCATATATATATATATATATATATATATATATATATATATATATGCA